GGCTTTCATGAGTCTCGATTGAATATCTTAAATATTTAAGTCGTGCCACATTAACGTAAAGATATCGCTACCCACAAAACCCTGAGTGGGGTGGATGTACAACGTAAATACAATACCTTCTGTGGTGTTGGCTGACGGCATGTCCCATGTATGTTCGTCCAGGTCTGGGTACTTGCCGCTGTATTTATTATTTTAAAATTCAAATAATAGCGCAAAGAGCCGTTACGTAAAGTTGTAACATTGGGGTCCAATCGACAATATGACTATACACCAGACAACATATACGAATGCGCCGCAATAACAATGATCCCACTAGCCACCTCATAGCGCACACTACGAAAAGCGATGACGATAATTTATCCGCCGGACGACGAACATCAAGGAAAGACGAATATAGGTAGCTTTTACCTGTTTGTGTAGCCGCCGATTGGAGAATAATCGAATGAAACTCCTCCCGCCATCACTCTTAATAGAGTGGCTGCCCCGCACCATATCGAACGAACAGACACACCAGAGACCGCACCTCCTGTATTGATCGTGGACAGCGAATAACACTGTGTAAACTCCACATTAGAGCACATATATACCACGGTTGCAGCTGGGGCCTGCGTAACATTGAATAGTGTACGAGCAAAGGCGGATGCAACGGTGAGATTACTAACCTCTCCAAGCGGCCCTACACCCTCCATATTAAAACTACAAGAAGTTCACTCTAGTTTACTATTATGAGGGGTGTGTACCGCTGTGAGTGACAGTAATAGTAATATAAATAGGAATAATTGCTATAATCTCGCAAGAATGCAGGTGACCATTCAATGACAACAATTCCGTCACTGAATAATGAAAATGAGTCGTTGAGAAACTTGACCTTTCACATTGCTTCAAAAATATTCCCGTACATACCATAGATCAAAAGCTGTCTGATATCAGAATGCAATATTTTAAATCAACATGTGTTCAGAACCAACTGAAATTGCACCGGATATCAACATGACAACACTTGTGTTGGCGAATTCCAATGGATGATGGCAAAAATAACAATTTGGGCTTTGACTTCTTCTTATTTACATATGTTACACGGGCCGCTCAGTAGGTCCAAATGTTGATCAAATGTCCCATTTTCGTACACCTATTTAAAGTCTGAACGGGATACGTGTTTGACTCGTTTATGTTGGTATTCGATGCTCTTCCAGAGTCTAGTCACAATGTGTATATATTTGCTTGACAGGCAATAGTGTTTACAATTTCTAGGGAAGGCGATGTAGCTCTATTTCACGTACATAATAATCTTTTAGTTAACAATGAGGTGTATTGCGAGCTGCATCTTTCTTCTAGCATTTTGTTTAATTCCCTTTCGTGAATAGCGTGTTCGATGAAAAACCACAATACAACCCGAGTCAATGTACTGTTATATACAAAATTAGATACTAAAAGTCAACCTGACGAAGGTTTTCTTCCTCAGGCAAGAGAACAATATAACTGATGGGGCACTGGAAAAAACAGTTTACTGTAATATTGCTATGACCCCGTGCTTGTAGGCCTTAGCGAGTTTTAACGAGCGAATAACCACATATTCATGCCTATACTGTTTGACTTCAACCGGCATGATTGAATTTGGACGACAAATGCGTGCGCTGTATTTGCCGAGGTTAGAAGGTGATCCATACACCCTAAAATCTTAAGTTCTCAAGATCGTTGATCTAGAGGAATTCGCATTGTAGTATACTCGAAGATTCGAACACTCTACACCTTGATATAATTAATCGAAATAGTTTTCCCTATGGAGAGCCTTCGATTCCGGCTACTATATCCTCGCCTAGTTGGTAATATCAATATATGTATAAATAGCTAGCTGCGTGTCTTTTGCCCAGCTATTGAAGGTGGAAACTTACACAGGGGAATGCTTTATTAGTCCATTCATCGAAAATTGGGATGCCCGCCTATATTAATTGATTATTTAATCGTATAAATCAGACTTCATAGCCAATTTTGAGTACGGACTTGCAAATTCCTCAGACATAATTACGTAGCATAATGTGACGAGCTAATACATTGGTGCTTGAAGTGGTGAACAGCAGTCGTAGGGACTGTCGTGGGATGACAATTCGCAAGGCGGAACCTTTCCGAGTTCAGCTACGATATTCTGGACTTGACGGATAACCACAATTTGTTGTCAAGTTATTTATTTTCAAAAGATATTCCGTGATTTACATACCGGTCGGAAGATGTCAAACATGGACATGTCTAGGCTCAGATCAATGATACTGCACTGACTTGAGCATAGACATATTCAGTCACTTAACGTTCGTTTCTGGTGTTGTTGTCGTTCGTTGTAAAAGGTATGCTTCAACTAAATTATGTTGTTGTTTAACTACTAATATTTGATTCACACGCGTAGTGTTCGCGCGAACTTTTTTCTTCTTTGCGCCAGATGGGTCCACTATAATTTTGAATTGTTCTCCTCGTTCTCCTCATCCATATCAATACTGTAGTTGTCGGTTGAGTTGTCTTCTTCTTCGCTCGCCTCCTCCACAGTCACCAGCACACCCGCCATCATGATAGGTCCTTTAATGGGTACGGCAGGCAACGGCTGTGACCTTCGGAGGTTGGCCTCCTTCTCTTTCGCCAAAGCTTCCCTTTGTCTTCGACGACGCCGCGAGCGCCACAAATGAGTACTGGTCATCGCAACCAGGATAATAAATAACACACCAGAGACAATACTCACTATGAGCGCTATACTAGTGGCGGATGACGTATCGTCCGAAGAAACTTCGCCGTTGTCGGTGACTACCAATTCGGCCATGGGATGGCATACTACCGAACACTTTCTGTAGCTAATCACCTTAGGCGCTTGGCACAGTTCATTGCATACCTTATGCCGTGTAATGATACCGCTACCACATGCACTTCCATCAGGATTTATCTTTTCTTCCGTAATCTGGCAATCAGCTGTCCACTCGCTCCACCATCCACACGTGCACGCAGATGCCTCGCTCGTAGCTGTCGCCTTAATCGAACCCTCAGATAAAGCAGAATCCACGTAAAGCTGGGTGTCACTTTCTACTGAATCAATCGCTTCGATCACGGATGTGCTAGTGTCGTCAGTGGAATCGCTTATTGTGTTTCCTGCATCTGTCGCCGATACGGTCGCAGTTTCAGTGGTGGTGGCATATGCCGCAGTGGTGGTCCACTCCTCACTGCCGGTAATAACACTAGGTGTACCTGATACTGTCGTTGTTACCTCAGTGGTCTTTTCTGTTGTAGCCGTCGTTATACTTGAAGAGCTGGTCATGGTTATTGTCCGGTTCAGAAAATCACAGCTTGCATACTCTGTTTGTTCATCACGTAGAGTTACAACTTGATCTAAAGTATATTCTTCATCAACGTCATCTGCACTATCATTCACCACGTCTATATTCTCTTCCTGTGTGTTGTCTACCGTATCACTAGTCCAGCTGTCTTCCAACGCCTCGGACGGAATGCCGTTGTTATCGAGTACATCAGTAATGGATGTGACTTCTGTAATCTTCGTCTCCGGTACAACACATTGTGACTCGTCAAGATCTACGTGCTCGCCCTGAGTAACGGATATATCGTCACAGAACCCGATTGTATTTGTGGGTGCATTACGGAGCACACACCCCACAGTGAGATGACTCAGGGTCACACTGGGTATGATATTCAGAGGTTCAAATCGGAACCAGTCCCAAGCCTGTAATCGGAAACAATGAAAATAAATGTGTGCTAAGTTTCAAATGATACAATTCATTAAAATACAGGACGCTATAGTTTAAACCTTTGCGCAGCAAAAACGCAACTCAGCATTCCATATACACACATTTTGTATTGTGCACGAGATCCTGATAAGCTACAGTATGTGCGCAATAGTTGTATAATACATTGTGGCCGGGTGGAAAGTGGGGGGGGGGGGGGGGGTAGTAAAAAGATCTGCACACCTCGGTGATCAACAATTTGCTGTAAAAGACTTGCGCCGGGTAGCTGTCGTCGCAGGGATAGATTGTCACCATTAGTCGCAATTGCGCGCCCTCTCTCCAGTTTTCTCCTTCGCTTTGCCTTGCGCTCTCAATATCAGCGACCAATTCGGTGTTCAACTGGCCCCAACCGGAGACTATAATTGGTGCACTATGATCTGGTAGATCAATGGTCTGCATGGCACTGAATAGGAATAGTAGAATAAGTATACAGGTTTCCAAGTGGAAATGGTGTTACAACTAATTGAGTTGGTACACATTCCGGTAAAACTACATTTTGGTGCCAAATAAGTTTCAAATTCAAATTGTAGAATCGTCGGGATTTTATAGGCCAACGATATATAGACTAGACCGGTCACGTACTGTAAATAATTCAATCCGTATAGGTACGAACCAGAAGGGCCCAGATACAAGGTTTACTAGTCGTTGGCCAACGATATATAGACTAGACCGGTCACGTGCTGTAAATATTTCAATCCGTATAGGTACGAACTAGAAGAGCCAAGTTAAAAGGTTTCTTAGCCGTTGGGCCATTTTGGCCAAACAAGGTGAAGATATTCCGACCGTACCTTCACGCTAATGCATATAAACAAACAAACAAACAAACAAACAAACAAAAAGTTCAGATAGGGACATAGACATATATGATATACAATTTATTATGTTGAATTCGAACATCACTTCATAAAGTATACGAAGTTACGTACTAAAACACAATCGTAAGTGAAAAAGAAGAAAAATATTCATATATAAATAAAGAAGAGATGTATTGAATTTGTAGGTTGGTAACTAAATGAGTTGTTAACAATAACAGTATATTTTATACCTATATTATTTATGTGGAAATAAAAAATTTCAAAGTATTTGTAATATGCATCTGAAGGTGTAAATTTTAATACAAATCATATCTATAACATGCACACACACGCACACATGCACAGACCAACACAGACATTTATATATATCTACATGATAATATATACTACATATCTAATCGTTCAGGTACGATCGAAACAATATGTGATATAAATATACTTGTATGCGTGTAGTTTGAATTGTACTTTTTCGCATACGTTCAAACATATATGCACGCATATTTAAATATCTTAAGAATATATATATATATATATATATATATATATATATATATTCTACACACACACACATATATATATATATATATATATATATATATATAACTACACTATATATATATATATATATATATATATATAT